GCACCTATATTTTGTACGGCGATAAGATGTCATCCAAGGACGCTTCGTTGTCAAAGTCATTCCGGAAGACGTCTACGTCCAATGATCCTGTTCAAGATGCAATCGACATGTTGCTGGATCCTGTAGCACAGAATAATGCACAAGGCCGGAGACCACATGGTTTCATTTGTCTTCATGTCGATGACTTGTTCATGGCCGGAGACAAGGTCTTTGCAGACAAAGTGCCAGCATTCGTAAGGACTTTAACGTAGGCTCGGAAGACAAGAATGACATCATGTTTGTTGGTCAACGTATTAAGTGGAAGACTCATGATAAGCAAGGACCATACATCTCTTGTGACCAAAAGCTTCAGTAGATGCTGTAGAGGAAATCAAGTTTGATAAACATCTAAAGGACAACGTTGCTTGTAATCCTCAAATGCATACAGCATATCGCTCTGTTTTAGGCCAGCTCAATTGGTTGCAGAGTCGAACGCAGGTTCACTTGTGTTACAAGTTCTCTAGATGTGCGTCCGCCGCTTCGAGTCCGACCATTGGTGACGTGCGTGAGATCAACAAGGTTGTTCGTACAATGAAGAGCCAATATGTGGATGCTCGATTCTGGCCTCTCAAGGGCAGCCAACGCATCCTTGGCTTTCCTGATGCATCGTACCGAAACAACAGTGACAAGTCCAGCCAACGTGCACACGTAATCTATCTAGCTGAAGAAAGGCAGCCATATAACTCTCGATATTCCGAGAAGAAAGATAGCTCAGCTACACGTGGATCTATTATAGACTACGAGAGTCATAAGATCACTACTACTACTCAGTCTACCACTGTTGCTGAACTACAAGCTTTGATGAGGTGTTTTGGTACATGTCTTTTCCTTCGTGCTCTGTGGGCTGATGTCAGTGGCCAGATTCTTCCTATTCACTTGAGGACAGACGCAAATAACCTGGTCACCACTGCACAAACCACACATCTCCCGGAGCAAACCGTTAGGGTCTGACGCTCCCCCAAGGACAGCGTTGGCAACAAGGGACAACATTGGTAGCTGCAGCTGTCGTTTGTATGTAAAGTTGTCGTTTACACCTCATGCATCAACAGCGTCAAGAGTCTGTGGCATATGGTCCACAGCAGGTTGGCGAACCCATGTCGCAGGTCCACCATGGATCCTTGCATTATGCACAGGCAACTATCCACCAGGGGATCACAAGGGCTCAAGAAAAATCTAGATGTAGTTGTTCGTGTTTTACTCGTGCGAGTAAGATGTGCCACGCGCATCGGCGAACATTGTTTCTAAGTAAGGGCGCGAACCCATGTCGCTTAGCTTGCACACGTTAAAATACACTTACATGTGATTGTCCACATGTCCGTTACAAAGTGCACCACAGTATCAAACCTAACTTTTTGCGTTTGTGCACTGTCGTGCGACAAAGATGCGCGGTGTGCATCTGCGAACCCTGTTACTGTGGAAGGGTGCGAACATGCATCGCACGCTCTGCGCACAGTTCAACTTACGTATAAGTAAGACGTGCAGGTGCCTTCATATCACAATCTTTTGCGGGTAGGGTTTTTGTGTTTTGATCTTTGTCGTGCGACAAATATGCGCGGCGCGCATCGGCGAACATACCTCTTTGGGAAGGTTGCGAACCTATGTCGCACGCGTTGTGTTTTTCTATGGTTGCTTTGACGGCCACCATTTGGCGTGTTTCACTTTGACTGTAGAGCTCTCAGCCTAGACAAGTCTGCAGCAGGCTCCATGGATAGAAAGTTCCAAGCTAGCCTCCGCTACCAAAGGCCACACCCCCTTGGCCCCACGCTTGCTTCAAGCACCAGACGTTGGACATAGACATGCGCAGTTTTGCTTGACAAGCCCACGGTGCAAACGTCAGGGTGTTCTCACTACATTGTTTTTCCAAACATCTCTTGAGGAGCCGCAAGATGTGTACATATCTCTACAGGGAATATATGTTGAAGGCATGTGTGTGTGCGCATTGTCCACTCCACCTTGCGCCCATGGCCCCATGGGCTGACAGCCGCTGAGCCGCTTTTCTCAGGACCCCACCGAGTTCACTCTGCTGTCCTTCCACCGCTGGCTTAAGTTTAAGATAAGCCGCTGGTAGACACGTAAAAGAACTGTGGACGAACTGCATTTCGTTGCCACTTGTTTGATGTAGCCAAGGTAAGATTCATCTTGCCAATTGGCAGTGAAGCGCGGGTTCACCCGCGTTCTCACCAAAAACAAGCCTAATTCTTCAAGATAGTGGTGTTTTGGCCTTGGAAGCCACCTTCGCACCCCTACCTCTAAACATGCATCCCTCAGCCCCTGCAAATGCAACAAGTGTTGCGTAAAAAGGTCTCGGATGCTTGAAGCTTCCCCCCTCAGAAGAATGATGTCAGCGTTGTCCATGATTTGCACTGCTGTGGTGATGGACCACAGACATAGAGCAGCCCCTTGAAGATCTGGAGCCTTAGATGTTTGGTTTCACCGCGAAACAAAACTTGCAAGATCGAGTTGTTGTGAGTTCGCATGCTAATGTGTAACAAGTAGCCCCCGTTGACTCCGCATATTCTACAGCTTTCAATGTCATGTACCACAAAATGACCTTGATGTGGGCAGCTTTCCAACACCGACCCAAAGTTGGCATTTGCTTCGGAGTGTTCAACCCAGTGTTTGCTTCAGTGAAGAAGCATCTGCGGACTGCAATCCTTAGGTCTTCAACAAGGGTAACGAGTCTCTGGGTATTGAACCAAAATTCACAAACATGTGTGGCGCCATACCGCCATGGATCTTTTGTCGTCGAAATTCAGCATGCATCTCCAAACTAAGCTGCCGGAGCTTGTCCGCCAGTGACATGTGGGGTCCACCAAGAAGGCCGTGGTCCAACCAGGTCGCTAAGAGGCAAGAGATCAGGTCCCTTGCTGTGCCCAAGTAAAGGATGTGTAAGATGTCGTGTAGGCAGGAACCTAAGTTCCAACCTGGAATCACATGATATGGAGAGATGGTACTGGTGGTTCTCCTGTACGTGGCGTCATCTATCCTTGTAAGATGACGCGGGCGATCCAAACGAAAATCATCATACCGCATGTCTGGATTTCCACTCTTTGCACATTTTTGGGCCACGCACAATTCACAAATATAGGTGCAGCTGTAAAAGCGGTCGAACAGGTTGCATTCTTGCCTGGCCTTGGCATCGTATCTAGATCCCCAATACGCCATCCTGACTGACATGTCATGACATATCACATTGGTCAACCAAAACGCCATTGCAAAAAAACATGAACATTAACTGACAGATCTCCACTGTCCTCCAAGGGGTGCTGAACTCTTTTCCCCTTCGTTTGTATCTCCAACTGTTCTGGGGGAACTCTTCTCCATGAAATCCGGAAGATGGAAAAACACCACTGCTTCCAATCTTGATTGACCACGCCAGGAGCTTGGCCACCACTTCGTGAACGGCATTTTTCACCTGGCCGGGCTCCACAAGGGAGACAGAAACGAAAGTCGTGAGCTTGCCTTCTTTTTCTTCATAGACTCATGAGGTAGGATGACAATCGGGAACTTGCAGTCCCAAACCTATGCGACAAACACAAACACCCACAAGACAAGACATGATCGTTTGTCGATACACCAGTTGCTGCTTTGAAACGTCGCCCTGTGCCATGATACTAGACAGACTCCAAACATTGTATTCAGAATCTCGATAGAATTCAGCTCCGTCCATGTGCATCGTCATTGGTATTGTGCCTCAATAACACTACAGGCTTTGCCCTTACATCATTGGTAAACCATTGTAGCTGCTACCCGGTAAACTAGGGCTAAGACGGTCTTTGCACAGCTCCCCACTGGCAAAAGCTGGGTGAGATGCCCACTCAGGACATTTCAAGCAATGATCCCAGAATTCTTCAATGGCTCCTTTGCCCCGGTCACCAATCATAGATTTTGCAAACTGGCGTGGGCGCAGAGACATGGTTGTTTTCATCAAAGGGCGTTGACTAAAATACTCTAGCTGACAAAAGAACAAAGTCTAGCCTGGACTGGCCCTGCACGAGCCACAGCATCAAAGATTTCGTGCGGTAAGAGAACTGGGACATCGACCAATTGAACCTCCATGGAGTTGATCACCTCATCACGCTGAACACATTCTGGGGCACTCCAGGTTTGTCCATGCACGCTTGTTTGGTTTGTACTCAGACCATGACCTGAAGCGGTATTTTTGCGAAATAGACTTCCAGTTCAATGTTGTGCAAGTTTTTCATCCACGTATGTAAGTCGCGCTCCTCTTTGGAGCTGTTCCTGCCGAAATTGCCAAGACTGGCAAAAGCCTGGATTGCCTCTGGAGCTGGGCCATCCAACAACTGGGCTTGGGCGATTGACACAACAGTATGGACGTGGGTTTTGCCGGATCCAATCATACCTCACAAAGCTCACTCTTCTCTAAATGGTGCTACCAAGCTTGATGCAAGAGGAAGCTCTCACACTATTCTTGAAACAAGGGTCGGATGAAATGCTCAGCTTGATTATTGAACTCGTACTTCTCATACCGACCTCGCCTGAAGGTCCTTGATCCCAAGGTCACCCAAGGTCTGGACTCAGCTTCTCTCAGGTGTGGACAAGGAGCTGCTTGTGGACAGCATGATCGTTGTGCAGGCCTGCGTTCCATGGCCAGGGTAAGATGTGACTTCAAAAACAATGGGCCCCAAGCAATCTAATCCAAGTGTTGGGTTGAAAGGGTTGGTCAGGCATTGAGCACTGCAGGCTAGCATTTTTCATCTGGCTTTCCAGAGTTCTGCAGCGATACCCCTCGCTGTCACTGAAAGTTGACTAAGCTGACTACGCAGAAGAAGCGGTGGTTTTCTTGTCACCACTCCTGGCAGAAGCTTTCGCTTTTGCCTTAGCCTTGCCCCTCTTCTTGTCCGTCAATCCAGAAAGCATAGCCCTCCCAGCTGCCTGGCAGGGGCTTGGTTTTGAACACTCTTCGTAACGGTGTGATTTTGTAGTTTAATGTGATTTAACTATAGAGTCTTAAACAACATGAATAGAACTGTTTGGGAATCTTGCACCTTAGCCTTCTCATACCAATTGAGCTGTTCCTTGCACTGACCGAGCAAGCCCTTGATCTTGGGTTCGCTCAGAACCTTTTGGTTCATGAGCTCTTGAAGGTCATGGTACAGGGATTCAGTCTTGCTCGAAAAGGTCATCAGCTGGGCATTGAGCTCACCCCCATAATCCACGTGCTTGAGGGAAAGCGCCATCTTCCTCCCATCAGCAGACTTTGTCAAGGTCTCCGCCATGATTTCAGCCGCCAACCTTGATTGAAGGTATTGAGAAATCAACCCTGGGGATAAGGATGAGTTCCAAGAGTTTAAACACCCAACAGGGAGACAACTAAGGGTCAGTCTCCTTGAAAGTCTTTGGCTTAACTTCTTTGGCTTCTTCTTCCTTTTTTCTTTTGGGAGGCTTGGCACTGGTCACGTTTGCCTTAGCCACTGTCTCCCACAAGGACTTCTCACCATCGGCGTCGGCAGCGTCTACACCAGGAAGTGCGCCCTGATGGAGAGGGCCGTTCTCGTCAGTCAGGGCAGTAAGGGTAGCGTGATCCGGGTTGGTCTTCCCCACCAACTTCATTTGCTCCGCGGTGATATCTTCATGTTCGATGCGCTTAGCACGCCCGCAATAATAGTAGATCTCCTGTGATGGGACGGAAAGGGTCAAGGCCAGAACGAACAGAAGAAGTGGGGGGGTTACATTATATATTCAATATGAATAAAGAGCTATAGTATATACAAATATGAAATAAGAATGTTTACAAAACTTAGTAGGAACACTGCATGGGTCAATGCCCCACCTCGTCGTCCCCCGGGAAGTCTTCGTCCCAGTACCACATCTTCTTTTGCTTGGGTAAAGAGATCAGTTTCTCCGCTTTGTCCTTGGGATACTTCTTGAAAATGTCCCTTGCCTTAATCCCCTCTCGCCCTGAGCGAAAGCGATTGATGCCCTCCACTCGCCTTTCAACCACCAGCGCTACCCTGAGCTGCGAAAAGGTTGAACCACTAGGACCATTAGGATTGGGCGCAAAAGAAACTCCAAAACAAAATGCTCTTGAACAAAATCAAAACGAGAAGCTGCTCCAAGTTCTTCCCGCTTTCGAGCCAGATGTTGAAGAGGTCTGTTTTGTCGCGCTGCAGGTGTGAAGTCAGGCTGACAGGGAACTTCTTGCGATTCTCGCACTGGCGACTGAAGGTGTCCCAGTCTTTTTTGTGCGACACACCTTGACACTGCCAAGGAAGATTGAAAAAATAAAGCTTTCTTGGGAAATTAGTCCTTGCTAAAGAACCCTTCAAAAACTGTGTCTCATAGTAAAATGCAAGGGACTGTTTGCCCGCTTTTTTGGCACATCTTCCGCTGCGTTGGAACCTTCTTTGATGATGTTGCCGGGGTCTGCGGTCTCCTCTTCTTTGTCATCCCCCTCTTCCTCCTCATCCTCTTGTGATCCCTCTTCATCTTCTTCCTCACTTTCTTCGCCCTCATCTGAATCTTCACTTGAAGACGAACCATCACCTTCCTCTTCCTCGCTGTCTGAGGGCTGTGGCTCCACCTCTTCCGCTTTGCTTTCCTCTTCCTCAGACTCCTCGTGTTCTTCGTCTCCTCCCTCATCCTCCTCCTCCTCCTCATCACCCTCCTCCTCTTTCTTTTCTGAAGCTTCTTCTTCTCCATCGTTTTCCACCTCCTCTTCTGCGTCGTCTGGCAATAGGATCAATTGATTGACAAGATCTTCAAACTCCGTTTCTGTCTCTGTATCATCGCCTTCCTTTGCGACCTCCTCCTTTGCCTTCTCTGCCGTCTCCTTTGCCTTCTCTGTCTTCTTCTTTGCCTTTGCATCTGCCTTCTTCTTTGCTTCCTTCTCTGCCTCTTCCTCTGCCTTCTTCTTTGCGCGCTTCTCTGCATCTTTGTCTGCCTTCT